ATCTATCTATCTATCTATCTATCTATCTATCTATCTATCTATCTATCCGTCCATCTGTATATATATATAAAAAGGGTTATTTTAAAGATAACAATGCCGACTCAGATCAAATGTAGTACTGAATGAAATAATCTTAAAACCTGTCACAACAAAGCTCATCCACTCAGCAGAATTACAGATAAATAATGAGTAAGCGTTAAGTGCATGAAAGCTATGACCACTTGTGGAGGCTTCCAGCCTTTTATAATGGAGGTAATCATGGTGGAGCTAAATAACATGGTTTCATTATTCATCATTTCAAAAGGTATGATAACTACTGAGGCAAGGGCAGTAATAATACCTGTTGCTATTTAAAAACACAAATGCAATTATCCTCTTTTCCACGACTATTTGTTTTTTTGCTTTTGTGTACATTGTGATTGTATTTTACTCACTTCTCATAGGAGATTTCGTTCTGTACTAGTTCACTTCTGCAGTTAAACTTTTCAGATGAAAAAACTTTTTGTTTTTTCATCTCATTCCACCTCATAAAATACAAGTGAAAAATCCATATTGAACTTACATAGTAACTAACATAGCAAAGTTTTGCATATGGTTACATCAGTAATGATCTTTTAGTGAGAAAAGTAGCTGCTTATTGTTGTTTATGCTATGTATATTGAGTGGATAATAATGTTGAAATAGCATATGTAATAAGTCTGGCGAAGACTTACTCTTAAGGAAGTATTTGTACATGCAGGCGCTGCCATTTTAGGGGGAGAAAAACAAGTTAAGACAAACAAAGAGTTTAACACCACGTACAGAGGAAGACAGAGGCTCAAGAGAAGGAAAATAAGATTTCAAACTGTGGTGGATTCAGACTACTCATACTCACACACTGTGAGCAGCTGTTGGTGGGAGTGTGCCATTGTGTGTCACTACATGTTTTCCTCTGGCGTTCAAACATAGTTTCTCTATTCATCAATGAAGCCCAGCTCTCAACACCAGACTCAAGCTACTAATACCCCTGTCTGTCAGAGACGCTCAAACAGCAAGTGATTGGAGATGACAAATGAGGCAGTAAGGCAGGTCAGGCAGCTATATGGCTGCAACTGAAAGAGGAGGCGAGGCTAGCACCAAAAGAGTCTCTGCAGAACGGAGAGGAAGCACTGTATGTGTGTGAGGTTCTGTTACAATAACACTGGGGTCTCTGTGGGTCTGACTCCAAACTTGTCAGGTCTGACTTTGCTTCTGGTTCTGGGATTCCCTCCCAGTTTTGACCACCTTATTTAGGCAGTAAAAGAAACCTTCCATTTCAAATCCAAAAACAGGAAACTGTGCATCATGGTTCCAAACTGTGTGTCAGCATAATTCATGAGAATAAAATTATTATAGTTATGCACAGGCAAAAAAATCTGCATTTAATCTAAAAAGAGTTTTTAAAAAGAAAGCAAGAAAAATGTCATATACTGTAGTGGTTTATTTTTTCAACAACATTATTGTGCTGTTTTGTCCATTATGCTTATAACATCAAGCCCCCAAATTAATGCTTTTATTACTATTGTTATTATTATTGTTATTGTTGTAGTAGTAGTAGTAGTAGCAAATAATAGTGATGATGACATCGATAGTGACAGCTGAAAACCAAATAATTATTCTGTATTCAGAGAATTCTGATGACTAGAGCACACCAGCTTTCAGTTTTATTTTTCCCTCTATCTACTTAAATTTTATTTCACAAGCAAAGCCAATGCCATGCCGTCCTCCTTTACTCTAATGCCAAGTAGTTATATGTTATTTTGTCTCTCATTTCTCTTTGCTTCCCTTCTGGAAATATTTTTCTTTCTCACAAGCCAAGATTTTAAATATAAACGGGAAAAAAGTCAGATAATGAAAGAAAGTTAGATTCAATAGCAATCAAAACCTTCTATGGCTATTTTCTTTCTTGGACACATATGAAAATTTTCACTGCTGTATAATGTTACAGCTCCCCTTTTTATGACTAATTTTCCAGCCTTCACTTCAATCATTAGCATTTTTCTGTAAATAAACACATTAACCAAGCTTTATTTTCAGTTTTGTTTTCTTATGAAATATAATTCAAAGTAATTTTCCAATCATTCTAACTTTAATGAAAATAAATAAAAGTATCCACTTTTTTATTATACTTTTGGTGAAAAGAAATCAACTCATAAATTAAATATAATAAACAACTATGAAATAACACTAATAAACAATATTAATTTTTAAGTTAATATCTGAGCTTATAAGGTAATTCAAGTCTTTGCTGTTCATATTCAGTTGTTTAAAGGAAGTTGTTTGTTTGGCAGATAGTTTCAAAATAACTGGATACTATATTTATATGTTTGGTCAGAGCACATTAATTTTACTTGAGCTTATCATTCTTGGTTATAAATTATCAGGATCGTTTAACTTGTAAAATACTTTTTATTATTTGTGTGAGCCAACACAGATGGAGGGGGAAGGGCTTCCATGACAAATGGTGCCAGGTTAAGGGCCAGCCGCACAGCATGCAAAACAGTACAATGGGACAACATTTGGTGTGCAAATCCATCGGCCCATTCAAATGCTGTCCCAAACAAAAAGCTGATACACAAACAAATCAATAAAGCTGAGGGGGGTAGAAATCAGAACAAATGAAAAAGAAGTGTTTCATAACATCAAATTTACCAAAGGGGAACAGACTCAAAGTTGATCCTTTTAAAAGAAAGCCTAAAATAAAACTCAAAATCAGATTACACACAAGACACGTAATGCCAAAGATAATGTGACGGTAAAAAGTGTCAGGATTTCACCGCTTGGTGTGAAGCAGACTCAGTAATTGAGGCAGTGGAACCTGTCTGTTTCGAGATCTATTCTCCCTCTTTAATCCCATAGACCGGCACACCCAGAACATAGCCATTGTGCTGCTGAAACCTCTCTACGCATGACAGAGTGTGGTTGTTCAGGTTTATTGGCCAGCTAGCACAGGCTCAATCTCGTACACACACACACACACACGCTCAGAAATAGAAATATGCACTCGTATTCATGCAAACTCAATGGCGTGCAGAGAGCACTGAAATCTTTTTCCACCTGTAATTTTCGTATTTAAAGCCGTATGTCCAAATGCCTACTGATGCATCCAGGTGTTGGACCATGTTGGACGTTGACTGATTTGGTTTTACCTCATTATCTAGACATTTATAGTGCAAAACCAGGACACTTTATTCTCAAAGAATCCAGACTAACTCGTTAAGCAGCAGCGCTTCATCCAGCAGAACAAAACTGTTTCAGAAGAGCCTGACACGGTCGGATTATTGGCTCGGCTAAACCTTAACTTTTCAACTTTAATAATGGAACACGTAAATCCTCTTTGTGCCAGCTTTTCTGTCCCCACTGTCAGCCTGACAGTCAACATTTGCTCTTCCTAAAATTTTCAATGAAAGGATTCCTTTGACCTATAGATGATCATGGAACAAGTAGTTTTTGTAGCGTTTGACAGATCCACAACATTTTTTTACCATTTCCATTTTGGTTTTCAGTTATATATTTTTTTTAATCATATCATTTTCTTATCTGTGGATGATAACAGAAATTATTTTGTTGATTTAAAGCTAATATAAGCTGCATGATGGTAGTGTAGAAGCTATTTTTCGTATTGACATTAGTGACAAGCTAAAATATGTGTGTTTTGATTCCCATCTGTCTACCATCTGTATCTTCCAAGGTCTGGACGTCAACTACCGGGAAAAACCTGATAAGGGCATGACGTCCAATACTTTCCTATCTCATAATACGTACACTGCTTATCAACTATCAATCTAATAAAAATCGACTGCTTGAAGAATGGGGTGTGAGATTCTATGTGTGGCTTTCTCTGGCCACACAGTCTCTCCCTCTTCTGCAGTTGAGAAAAACGTATCCTCTGTGTCAAGCCTTTTTTATTCTGATGCCTCTTCCTTGGTCTATTGATTAATAACTAAACTCTTGATAGTGAGGAACTAGGAGTCGTATTTAGACCCAACAGGTAGAAATGCTGAACAAATCTTGACAGTAACCTGCTAAATCTCAACAAAGAAAAGGAAAGCATCATTAGTACAAACATCCACCTGCACACAAACACAGAATAATCCAGATGAGTTGGTCTTTGATGATGGAGATTATCATAGCTGTTTAATAGTATCGCTCAGGCTCATTCTCTTTCTTTGTAATGTTTCTTCAGCAGATGACCCACCTTTAACCTGTGTTTGGTTATCTTTGCCAAGCAGAACCTCTCATGAAAAACCACAAAGGCTTCTTATCGACCTTCCAGAAAAATGTCAGGAAGATAAATTCACTAATATGTCATGAATGGCTGAAATGGGGAAAAAAAAATCTACTTCAGGGTGGCTATGAGATAAATATGATGCATTTACATATGTGAGGAGTTATATTAAGACAGCATTCTTCCCCGAGTAATTACAACAATTACACTTCAGAAGATTCTGTCCACAAAGAGAGACACATGTTGCGTTTGAGCACCTGATTGCCTGCACACAAGATGTGACTTGTATTGGCTTTTTGCCCTAAGTACAGATAATCCAAGTGTGGCAGTGATGGAGGAGGTACAAATCCTTCGGTAACAGACACACAGGTGGTACTGTAAAGGAATAGCATACCTGTCTAGATTTCTCTTTCTGTCTAATTTGGCCTGGAACCATGCAGTCAGGGGGGCAACCCTCCCTTCTCCCCGCACAACCCTGCCTCAGGTATGCATCAGACTCACAGTCTCCTCTCTCCATCTCTAGCAAACACACAAGTGCTCTGCTCTGCACCAAATGCTGTTTGAGTGGCCTTGCTCAAGTCCCACAGTTGAGCCGCTCTTGAACATGTCTTCGTGAGCATTGCAAATGTATGTTACCTGCCAGTCGAGAGAAAAAGTCTTTCCTTATCCCGACAAAACACACACAGCGCAGTCCAAAAGAAAATAAGCCGACAGCTTCTAATCGCAGATCGAAATTGCCTTACTATAACGTTATTACTATGACCCTAACCATTCAGGTGAGAGCTCTGTAAAAAACATATGAATGGAAATAAGAGAGAGAGATGGGGAAGAGGAAAAGTGCAATAAACATAATATAAATACATAAAACATTGGGCTGACAGAGACAGGAGCCTGCAGTGTCTGCTACAGAATAAATGTTTGTACTCCTGTCGAAAGGATTTGAGGTATGTCAAATACGGATGAGATGTGGAAAATGGATGGCTTATGTGCCTGGAACAAACATGTAGAATAAACTTGTTATTTCACAGAGCATGCACTATAAATATATAATATATGCC